GACCGGGGCGTGGGGTGGCAGGTGAGTGTGTGTGGCAATGGTGGGGGGTAGGAGGAGCCTAGGGCTGGGGCAGCAGGGGGGTGCGAGTCGGGGGTGGGGAACCCAGGGCTGGGGCAGCAGGGAGGTGCGGGAGGGGGTGAGAGCCCAGGGCTGGGGCGGCAGGGGGTGCGGGTGGTGGGGGAGAGCCCAGGGTTTGGGCAGCAGGGAGGTGCGGCGAGGAATCCAGGGCTGGGACAGGGGGGCAGCAAAAATTTTTTTTGCTTGGGGCGGCAAAGAACCTAGAGCCGGCCCTGCCCCTACTTCTGCTGCCTAGGAGCTGCAGGGATGCAGAACCGGGTAGGGAGTCCCACCAACCCTCCCTCCCCCAGTACCAGCGGGGATCCTGAGTCACCTCCCCCAGCACCTGCGGCACCCCCGGACTTAAACTCGGCTGGAGGGCTGAATCGCTAAAGACCCCCTGAGAGAACCATCGGCTGGGGGGGAGGGACTCATGAGAGGTGGGTGCCACCCTGAAAAAAACGGGGATCGCAGGCATATCGGCCAGAGAAAAGGGGCACTAATGAGAGGTGGGTGCTGACCCCGTTACACCTAGTTAGAAATGTTACTGTATGCTGGTAAACTTTCCTGCATTGGAGGCAATGTGTTCTATTTGTAGGGCAGGAAGTACTCTGCATTAGGCAGTAGCACCCTAATGAAGGGCTGGTCTTAAGGGAGTCCAAAGGGAATCCTATCTCGTCCATGACAGGCAAATGTCAGCTGCAACAGGGGAGTACTCAAAAGAGTAGGGATGAAGACTCCGAGATGGAAACACACAAATTAAAGGGTGAGGGAAACCACTCCTCCTGCCAAAAAAAGTTGGGGGTTTTTACATGGTCTTTATTTTTTTGCAGGGTAAAATCTACATTCTCTTTCCAGCTGAAAGCACCAAGCATCCTTAGTAAGTGATTTTATCGTTTGTATTAGGACAGTACCTGGAGGTCTCTTTGTGCTAGGCACTGTACAGATACACAGTAAGAGATCGTCCCAGCCCTGCCCTGAAGAGTTTACATTCTAAACAGGCAAGGCAGACACAGTGAGACAAAGGAAATATTATCATCATCTCCATGTTACAGTTTGATAATGGTCTATTCCATTTCTCAGGGCTGTGTGGCTGGGCAGTCTGTGGGTGGACAGGTGACTTGACTGAAGTGCTGATGTGCGCTGGCTAGTTTCTGCTTCCTACAACCTAGACAGGGCTATGGGAACCTAAATGTAAATTAGCTGTTTTCCTTTGGGAACAAGAGGCTTTTAGGTTAAAACCAGATTTTTTGTCTGAACTATTCATAATCTAGCCAAGCAGCAAATATGATCTGCTCCCTACCCTCACCACACCCTCATCCCTTGACTTCTATTCACACAGCCCAAATCTCCTTTCTCACAGTAACATAGAGCGTGTACTTGATATGAGGCACCAGAGGCAAGCACTTTTCAAGAACTAAAGAGACAGGAAGTAATAAACATTAAAGAATAAAAGATTCCTCTTTTTATTAACATAATTTTACTATTTTGTATACAATACACAAATTATAACAATCATTTGCAAGGGCAAATTACAGGGTTATCTTGCACAAAACACAATATTTTGAGACAATTTAGTGGCAAATTCCTCCCATAGTCGCTTTACTCTAACATAAGAGGTTTCTATTCCAAAGAAACTGTGTTAACACTTTTCTGGGCTGAAAGTGAAAGGAACGTGTGTAATGGAGGAAGGAAGGTGTCGTGTTACAGGCATAGCATAATAACCCTTTAAATAGTTTGTGAGCTTTTTTGTTCCATTCCCCATGTTCAGGTTTTTTTTAGAAGTTGCCAGAACCCAGTCAGAGCAGCAGTGTGTACATGGAGGAATGCCTGGCATGCGTATTTCCAACAAACACATGATTGGACCCCACTGTACACATGTGGTTCCTTTATATTACATTTGTGTAAAGAGAAAAAGATAAGATCAAAACTGGAATTACACTAAACTATAAAGTACATATTGGGCCAGATCCTCAGCTGGCGCAAATAGGCATGGCTCCAGAAGTCACTTTAGATCAGTGGAAGATGTGATCCATTTTTGTTTACCAAATCTCCTAAAATAATGCAGGTAAATCTCTGTCAATAGCATTGTCTGCAGCATGTACAAGCAAATGCGAAGTGTACTTCAAAATCTCTTCTCAGAGAAGGCATTGGCTTGGCCCTGAAGGAATACCCAGGCAAAGTGCTAGAAAACCAAACCACACCCTGCTGGCTCAGAGCACTGACTTTCCCATTTAAACAGCTGCAATAAGCTCATATTATGTGTTGCAGTGACAAGTCTGCCAGGCTCTTGCTACCCACATGTAATCACGCTATCTTTAGCATTCCGTTACACATTTGCTATGTGTACCAACACGCAACAGGAATCTACACAATGCTGACGGGTAAACGGCCAATAGTGCTGATAGCATAACTTCAGAGGATCTCAAGGAGACTCTCTTAAAGAATGAAGCAGACACAATGCTAAGGCCAGGCCTAAACTACAGGCCTATATAGGTATAACTAGGTCGCTCAGGAGTGTGAAAAATCCACAACCCTGAGTGACATAGTTATACCAACCTAACGCCTGTGTAGACAGCACTATGTCTTCAGAGCTTCTCCTGCCAACACAGCTATCGCCTCTCAGGGAGGTGGATTAACTATATTGACAGGAGAAGCTCTCCCACCGGAGTAGGAGCATCTTTCAGTTAAGCACTACAGCCTTCCTAAAATATATGAGGAGAACTTTGCAAAACACTGCACTTATCTTGGGACAGCCAGGATCTGGTAGGGGTGTGGGGTGAGTGTCGTGGCAAAGTGTCCATCCTCTCGAGGCCTGGCCTGGCCCTCAGGGAGATGGAAGGTGAAATGCTGCAGCAGGCTGGTGAAGAAGAGGAAAAGCTCCATCCTGGCTAGTTGTTCCCCCAGGCAAACACGACGACCTGCAAGCGTGGGAGTGAGAAAAGAGGGAGGAGGCAGAGAGGAGGAGGATACAATAACTAGTCACCGAAGGAGTAAGACCCTTACTGCTCAGGCACAGGTTGGAGTGAACAGAGAATCTGCCTCCATATGCAGCAGATGGTGAGTCTCCCTCTTCCCAGACCCTGTGTGAACAGGAACAACTAGGAAATACTTCTCCAGACCGATCAATGTTCTATTTAATCTGATTGCCTGTCTCTGATGGTGGCCAGCACCAGACGCTTCAGTGGAAATCATAATACCAAGGACTGTCAGTTGATTTGGAGAGGGGAATTACTGCCTCATTAGCCTGACTCAAAAGGGTCAGAGACACTCGAATACACAGGGCTAAATCCTCAGCTATTAAATTGGCATAACTCCATTGATGTAAAAGGATCTATGATAATTTACACCAGTTGAAGATCTGTCCCATATGCTCTTTGTGGAATTCTTGCCTTCTAGAATCGAAATGGGCAAATAAATGCCTTTAGATAGAGAAATCTGAGGTGGAACAACATGCCCATGCCACCAGGCAGGAGATTCTGGTTCAAGTGCAATCTGGGGACATTGGTTTCCTGGACTTGAGTGGTGCATCTTCACCAATGACCCATGTCAGGCTAAACCACTGCAGCAAGCCTTTGCAGTACTTGTACAAACAGCTTCACCTCACCGCCAGCCTGAAAGACATCACTGGTGCCATATCTACTCCCATAACCACTGCAAAATCCTTCTAACAATGTAACTGAATGTCCTGTATTCTGTTAAGTCAGAGATCAAAGGGAGATGTTAACATTTAGATGAACTGTGAATGTAGTAATAGCACTGTCTTCATTTCTCTTTGAAGTATGTAGTAAACTGCCTGTAAATGGCGGGAAATGGGCAGTTGCCTTCTGTTAATCCCTGCAGCTAATTACCAGTGGTGCTTAGGAACTAGGAGGCTACTTCAAGACCACTATTGGTCACCCAAGGACTGCACGCTGTCAAGAGGCTGCTGGACAACTATAAAAAGAACTCTAGGGCCCTGAGCCTGTTATCTCAGATCTGCTAAGCTTCGTCAGGGGAAGTTTGAGTCACAACACTGAGGTCTCCAGCTCCATTCTGGATCACCCTGATCTTGGATATTGGACTTTGAACTATAAACTGAAGAACTGATTCTGGAAAGGACTCTGCAATTCTAGAGCTCACCCTCTATACTATGAAACTGGCGTAAGAATTTTGTTCGTATCTGTATGTGTAATGATCTTTTAACCAACACACTCTCTCTTTTTTCTTTTTTAATAAATCTTAGTTTCCTTAATAAGAATGTATTTGGGTAAGATCTGAGATATTAATTAACCTGATGGGCAATGTGTCCGATCCTTTGGGATTGGTAAGATTTTTATATGATGAACAAGATTTTCAGTAATCTTCATCGTATCTGGAGATTTGGGTGTCTGGGTGGGAGCTCAAGGGTGGGTTTCATTAAGGGAACTGTATTTTGGCTTCTGGGTAACCAGTAAGGTATTGCATTGTAGAAGCTGTTTTGTTGCTGGCTTGGTGAATCTAAGTATTACAATAACCACCACTTTGGGGGATTGTCTGCCGCACTTGTTGCAGTTTGCCCTAATTGAGCAATCTCAGCATGCCCCAATCACACCTTGTTATAGGTTGACTCAAAACCTTATTCAAACTCATATGTGAACATGCCTGTCACTTACAATAGTTGTAAGAAATACTTAAGGGGCCACACCTAATACAAGGCCTAATAGAATCTGCCCAGAAACTAGCATCAGGTGGGTAGGGAGTTCCACTTGGTATTGTGACCAGGTTGGGGAGAGGGGGAGTGGAAGGGGGTTGCGAGTCTGAGAGCGAACACACAGAAACTGAGAACAGACAAAAACAGAGAGAAGCAGAGACAAAAGCAAGAAGGACAAGCAGCAATAGCCTGTGAGTGCAGTGAGACCCCTAGGAAAAAGCTTTTGGGTCTGTTGGCAAAAGAGGCTTTGGGCTATAAGCTAAGAAACTCCTCCTTTTGTTACGGTTCCTCCTGAGTTCAGAGAGCAGGACTTTGTATGTTCCTTATAAATAAACAAGATGGCATCAAAGAAAATACTTGACTCCATCAATTTCTACTTCCAACTGGAATGTCCCCAGGGCCCTGAAATTTGACGAACATAAGAACAGCCATCCTGGGTGAGACCAAAGGTCCATCTAGCCCAGTATCCTCTTTCTACAGTGGCCAATGCTAGGTTCCACAGAGGGAATGAACAGAACAGGTAATTATCAAGTGATCCATCCCCTGTCACCCATTCCCAGCTTCTGGCAAACAGAGGTTAGGGACACCATCCCTGCCCATCCTGGCTAATAGCCAATGATAGACTGATCCTCCATGAATTTATCCAGTTCTTTTTTGAACCCTGTTAAAGTCTTGGCCTTCACAACATCCTCTGGCAAAGAGTTCCACAGCTTGACAGTGCGTTGTGTGAATAAATACTTCCTTTTGTTTTAAACCTGCTGCCTATTAATTTCATTTGGCGACCCCTAGTTCTTGTGTTATGAGAAGGAGTAAATAACACTTCCTTATTTATTTTCTTACACACCAGTCATGATTTTATAGACCTCAATCATATCACCCCTTAGTCATCTCTTTTCCTAGCTGAAAAGTCCCAGGCTTATTAATCTCTCCTCCTATGGAAGCTGTTCCATACCCCTCATCATTTTTGTTGACCTTTTCCAATCCCAATATAGCTTTTTTGAGATGGGGTGACCACATCTGCACGCAGTATTCAAGATGTGGGCATACCATGGATCTATCTAGAGGCAATATGATATTTTCTATCTTCTTATCTATCCCTTTCTTAATGATTTCCAACATTGTTTGCTTTTTCTGACTGCCACTGCACATTGAGTGGATGTTTTCAGAGAACTATCACAATGACTCCAAGATCTTTCTTGGGTGGTAACAGCTAATTTAGACCCCATCATTTTATATGTAGAGTTGGGATTATGTTTTCCAATGTGCATTACTTCGTATTTATCAACCCTGAATTTCATCTGCCATTTTGTTGCCCAGTCACCCAGTTTTGAGAGAGCCTTTGATAGCTCTTCACAGTCTGCCTGGGACTTCACTATCTTGAGTAGTTTTGTATCATCTGCAAATTTTGCGGCCTCACTGTTTACCCCTTTTTCCAGATCGTTTATGAATATGTTGAACAGCACTGGTCCCAGTACAGACACCTGGGGACACCACTTTTTACCTCTCTCCATGCTGAAAACTAACCATTTATTCCTCCCCTTTGTTTCCTATCTTTTAACCAGTTACCAATCCACGAGAGGACTTTCCCTCTTATCCCACGACAGCTTACTTT